GGTGGCAGGCACAGTCCTGCCCTGTGGCTTCACTGCCCTGGGACTCCCACAGCCCAAGCCCCAGATAATGAGGACATTGGAGTGTTTGTGCCTGTTGGATCAGGATCCAGGGAGTCACCCCGATGGACATGGAGCTGATGGGGACGGATCCTGGCGAGCTGGTGGCGATGGGAGCTCCAGAAAGACCCACCCTGATGCACAACCATGACTTTGCCTTATTGTGCATCCCAATTCCCTCCTGCAGGAGACACAAATGTGCCTGTAGGTGGCCCAGAAACACTGGCTTATTAAAAAGAAAAAAGGAAAAAAAAAGGAAAAAAAAAAAAAAAGACCAGAATGAATGCAGCATCTGTCACCCTTTTGCAGAATTGTTATGTTTTTTGTGTAGTTGGTGCTTGTTTTCCAAAGATTTACATTTTTATGTGTGTGTCATTCGCTTTTCATGCATTTGGAGACCTCGGAGCTTAGAAATTCAAAACACTTGTCAGTCACGTCAATCCTTTTGGACAAAACAGAGCTGCCACTTGGATGGATTAAAAAAAAAACCCCACAACAAAACAACAAACAAAACACACTTTTCTCTCAAGCTGTGACTCGGTCACCCCGCTCAATGCAGGCAAGACAATGTTCAGAGAAAGCAAAAAAAGAAAGATACAAGTTTTCATACTCATCGGTGGAACTAAATTGATTAAGGTCATTTCCTAGGTAGGTTTGAAATCTTCTGCAACAATTTTTTTCTTTTTTGAAAAGAAAAAGAAAAGCTTCCCCCCCCCCCCCCCCAAAAAAAAAAAAAAGGGAAAAGTCACCACTGCAAAAACATTAAATCTGCTTGGGTAACTCAGAATATATGTTGGCAAGGCAACATATCTCAGCTTGAACAGTAAACCTGCTATGTCAGAGGCTCTGCCACATATGAAAGAGGCTTGGGTTTCAATATCTCATGCTGAATTTACTTCTTTTCAGCCTTTCACGGCCAAGTATTTGATGTCTCTCCTTTCACTGCTGCAATCGATAGGGTGACCTTACGTAAAAGTTTCCTGACCTTTGCTGTTGTCAGTATTGTTCTGTTAAAATGTAATTTAACTCTTTTTCTTTAGTCTGGAAATAGCACTGTACAGACAGCAAACACGAGAGGGGCTCGGGGGCTTTTTTCCCCCCTTAACCCAAAGGCAAGAGGCACCATCCATCATCAGAGTTGGCTTCAAACCAGAGGATGACAAGAAGCATCATCTGCAGAGGGCCTGGTTAGTTTCCCAGTGCTTTCTTGTACCTTTTTAGTAAGTTAAAAACCCCAAAAAGCCTTACTCTGATGCTCACTCCAGTGCCATCCTGCTCAGTATTTTAGGATTGAGGGGTCTCCCTGGATTCACATAATTGGGATGTTGGTATCTCCTTGGCACTGTGAAGTTACAGTATTTTCTCTAGCTAAGGCCTTGCATGTATTTCCCACAACAAAAACAAAGAGATTAAGAATTCTATGGAAAAAGGAAAAAAAAAAAAAAAAAAAAGAAGAATTGCTTTCAAACAGCAACTACCAAAGTAGAAGGAGGCTGTTTTTTCTCATGACAGTGGGTGTTGGAAAGCCAGCCACATGTTTTAGAGTTACAGCTAGCTTATCCAGGCCAGGATCTTTGGGAGCCTGGTTTGAATCCCATTATAACCCTGTAATGCAAGTACTTTTGTGGGAGCAAGCTGCCATGGTTATCCTCTGCTGTGATTTCATCTCCCAGTTCTGGCTGGATGTGGGTATTACTCTGCATTAGCCATGCAGATGCACACGTCGCCACTCACACCCATACATTTGCACGGGATTATGGCTGAAATTCCTGATCCTGCTTATAAAAAGCCCTATAAATCCCAGAGAGCTCCTTTTAAATCTGCAGCATTACCTTACTGTAAATCCAGGGTGTAAGTCAGAGCAGACTCTGGCTCAGATGCTCTTCAACCACACATCCTGATGGAGAAAGGAGGCCAAAACCAAACCCTGGGCTCTGAACACACCAATTCCCCCCAAAGCCCACCCCCATCACATCACACCCGGCTCAACCCCACAGCCCTTCATTTTTTGGAGTACCAGCTCCACTCTTGTCATGGAGAAACTCTCAGAAACAGAATTAAGAGCTGGGCTTCGGCAGCGCTGCCCCCACCCTCACGTGCAATATTGCTCACAGCCGAGTTATTCCTTGCTTCTTAGGAATTTTAACTGGCTTTTATGCACAGTGAACTCGTGAAAGGAGAGTACCCAAAGTCAGCAGCACTGAAACCATGAATTAGCACCAGTTGGGTGTTTCTTACAGTACATTATCTGCATAATGCCAGAGGAGCTGATTTAAAGTCACTGCGCTACACCTGATCGTCATTTATGGCTCATAAAAGGAAAGCTGTGTTTAAGGAACAATAAAGCAGCACTGTACTTTGTATGGAAGAAGTGAAATAAAGCCTTTCTCACGGAGCAGATGTATTTTTATTTGCTCAGTGCCTGTCTCTGAGGCACATGGAGATGCTTTACCAGAAAGCCCAAGAGTTAAGCAGGAGGACTCGCTCCAGGTTATGGATTATGTTTGATTTGTACTCATTTTTCCAGCCAAGCCTTAACACAGTGAATTTGACCTCCTGGAAAAGATAGGACCTGAATCCCCAAGGACACCTGTAGCTCTCAGGGGAACAAGAGAGATCCCCAAGCACAACAAAAAGAAGCAGGGTTCCTTCATAAAGCAGAATCACAGAATCATTTTGATGGTCTGGGAGGTCTTTTCCAGCCAAGAGCGATCTATGATTAATCCCCACCTTGTCACCCAGCCCCGAGCACCGAGTGCCAAGTCCAGTCTTTCCTTCAACACCTCCAGGGATGTGGACTCCATCACTCCCCTGGGCAGCCCCTTCCAATGCTTAACAACCTTTTCCATGAAGAAATTCTTCCTGAACACCCCAAGTTCCAGGCTCAGGACGTTTGGCCAAAGTGACAGCAGCCATCACATCAATCACTCTAAGTCACAGTCACATCACAGAAGACACCTACTCTCACTCACCTGCTATCTGCTGATAAATTCCCTCATTTCAGTCTCCAAGGAGTCCAGATCCACACTTTGGTTTCAGTGCAAACCCCAGCTGGGGCACCATATTGCACAGGAGAAAAGCTTCCTAGAACACAGACAAATTTTTAAGCTATTACACCTCTTCCAGTTTGATTTTTGAGAATTTTTAGCATGAAACCAAAGTCCTAATGAGAAATACACAACAATTACAAACTCCATCCCTCCTCCCCCTGCATTGTTCTGCCCTCCACCCATTTCCCATCCTCTGCCCACCACCCCCCCCCCTTCCCAGGGTCACAGCCACCTCAGGGCCACTCAGCAGTGCCAAGCCTTGTAGAGGACAGTGTTCCCACTTCCCAAACTGCTGGTGTGGGGCGTGCTGCCTCCCAGCTCCACTTGTCCTTTCAAGGGACAGGTGAGTCCTCAGCTCCAGGTTTTCCCATCAAGGAGCTGGAAAAGTTCCATGCATGCACAGCATTGACAGCAAGGGTCACGGTTCTGACCTTTCCCTGCTCCCTGTCTGACCCTGCTTTTGGAAAAGGCACCATCACACCACGATTCACCTCCCCAAGGAAGAGGCCTGGAGACTTTATCAGTGTGGTTGAGGCAGCACTGATCTGCAGGATCTCCCCAACACTCAGCACCACCCGGGCTATGTGCAGGGCTGACGCCACTCTGTGAATACCAAACTGCAGAGAGAAAGGAAAAAAAAAAATTCAGTGAGTTTCTGCCAGTGTAAAGCTACAGCACCACGTGAGAACAGCCCACTGCCTGAGAGGGAACCTGAACTGAAACAGTTCTGCTGCTCTAAAATGAGCAACACCCCGCAGGTGGGCAGGAGTGGGATGCCAGAGCTGTATCCAGCACCTTTGGGGAGGACACAGCTGCACACAGGGATGCTGAGTGAAGAGGAGCAATGCCCAACTAAAGCAGGGGATTCACTTCTCAGCATTAACCAATTTCAAGTGTCAGCACAAGGGAGAACCTTCCCTGCAGTTCAGCAGCATCTTGAGGTTTACAGGAAGCTCAAAATACCCACAGTGTACAAGAAGCATCAGCACAAAAAGCTGCACCTGCACTCCATCCTGACAGCTTCTCTGCAACCAGAAATCCTCTTCCTTTTGGGATTTCTCCCCATTTGGGAGTGGACTGGTGCTTTTTTAGCAAGAGCAGTACAAGGAGGGGATGGCAGACTTAACATCTGTTCTTGCAGGACAACCTTTGAGGAGGCAGTAATGGAACACGTAGAAAGAAACAAAATGCAGTCATTCCCAAATGGTTTGGCTGTTGGGATCGCAGGGGGGATGAGGGCATTCTTGGATTGAACAGGAATTTAAGTGGAGCAGCAAACATGGCTGGGAGACATCACTGATTTGACATTAAATACCTTGTCCTGAGGTGAACACGGCCATGACTCAAGTCCTTTGCTGGGTTAAGGCTCCACTTCAGGCATCCCACAGCGCCTGGATCCTGCCCCACACTCGGACACCATGGCACTGCAAATCCACAACAAAGGGAAGAAGAGATAAAAAGGGATTTAGTGCTGTCAGGACAGCTAACCCCCCAATTCCATCGCCAGCAAAAACCCCGGAGGCTTGAACCTGGATTAGTCCAAATATCCGCTCCATCTGCACACTTCCGTATTTTCCTTCCTTGTGTTTATTTCTAAGCTACAAACACAGCTTTTCATCATTCCTAGCAGCTTTTACCTATAAATCCATCAGTTTTACCTTCCCCACCAGCACAGACTCACTCCTCCCACCCCTTCCCTGCTCACCACGCTCCAGTGCCATCTCCCATTCCTCCAACAGTTCTTTCTGGCCACCAAACACCAGGAAAACTCTGACTGACCTGTCTGCTCTTGCACCAAAGGACAGAAGGTGGGCTTGAGATTCCTCCTTTTTGGCTTTTTTTTTCCTGAGGAGAAGGCTGGCAAATCAAACCACTGGCAGGCACAGGTTTGTTTGTTTGTTTTTTTCTCAGATCTTTATTTTACAAAAATAACTTACAAATAGAGACAACTCTCAGCAGTAGGATCACTCGCTCTGTGCAGGAGGATACAGCCTGGTGAAGCAGGGGAGTAGGAGTTAAGGACTCTGACAATACTGTTAATTTTAACATGATGGCAGCTATATTACACTACATATATTTCATGCTCCAGCATGTGGGTGTGACACCACATAAAGCCACGGTCCATAAAGTGTGCCAGCCAGGGAGGATGTTCCCAAGAGATCATTTCCATCCTATTTATCAGCATCCTCTTGGAGCCAAACGGCCACCTAACACTCAGACTACAGCACTCTGGATACACTCATCGGCAATATACTTCAAATACATGATAAAAATATATTTAACTTTCAAATACACTTGTATAAGGTACACCAAGAGGCAGAAAATAAAGTCTCGAGCTTTTAAATACAACACACTATATATATAAACATATACAAGGAGACAAGAGGGAATCAAGACGTGGAAGGAGAAGCTTATCCATGTTATCTATGCTACACAATGGCTTTGTCTGCTAGGAAGTCATTTCCATTTGCATAGCGTTGTTGAGGAGTCCACACTGGGCTAGGAGGAGAAAAGGTTTTCATTTTGGTACCACTTCCACTTTGCAACTGATCCTACTCTTAAATTACACTTTGTCCTCTCTGTTTTGTAGGCTGGAATTCACGCCCCGTTCATAACAAGCACATTGAAAGGAAGGGGTTAAAAAAACAAAAACTTAACAACAAACCATAACACACACACCAAAAAAAAAACAACACATCAGGTCAGAGAGTCAAGGAAGTTTCTTTCTGGGGCTGCAGTCATTTGGCATTTTGCTCCAGGGCTGAGTATTCTGCTTCTGACACTCTGGAGGCGTCGATGAGTTTAGTGAGGCCGGTTTTGGCAGAGTACTTGAAAATAAAGGCTTTCATGAGCTCGTATCTGTAGTTGCGGTTGATGAAGCTGTACAGGATGGGGTTGACACAGCAGTGCACGAGGGAGAAACACTGGGTGATGTGGAGCATGGCGTAGAGGAAGTTCTCCATCTGGCAGCTGAAGGGGATGAAGTGAAGGCTGTAGAAGATGTCCAGCAGCACGGCCACGTGGTAGGGCAGCCAGCACACCAGGAACACCACGACGTAGGAGAAGATGATCTTCCCGTTGCTCTTCCGCTCCTGGTCGCTGGAGGCGGAGATGCTCTTGGCCAGGAGGAAATAAAACACGGTGATGATGGGAAAGGGGATGAGGAAGCCCAGCACCACGGAGATGAGCTCCATGCCAATCAACCACTCCTTGAAGCTCTCTTCAGGGTAAACGGGCCTGCAGTAGGTCTCGTTGTTGGAAGAGACCGTCTTGAGGTAATAGGTGTCCGGGAGGGACGCGGAGAAGGCCAGGAGCCACACCAGGACGCAGATGCAGCGGCGGATGATCTTCTTCTTGCGGCTGCTGGAGCTGGTGAAATAGGCAACCGAGAGGTAGCGGTCCACGCTCATGCACGCCAGGAAGAAGATGCTGCTGTACAAGTTGATGGAAAATATCAGGTGAGTTATCTTGCACGTGATTTCCCCCATGTGCCACTGGTTGTGCTGGACGAGCGAGACGACCCACACAGGAAGGGTGATCACGACGCACAGGTCGGCGATGGCCAGGTTGAAGATGTACAGGTGGGTTTCATAGCCGGTCATTTTGGCCTGGAGGTTGACCCACACCACCACCGAGTTGGCCACCAGGCCTATGACGAAGATGAAGATGTAGAAGAAGGACAGGGTGTAGAGCAGGGCGCTCTTGTTGAGCGTGCCAGAGCATGTTGTCGCATCCACCGTGATGCACTCGCCGTTGTTGCACGTCCAGTTGATCTCCGTCAAGTTGGCCGTCTCCAGGAAATCCAGGATGGAAGTCAAGTCAAGCGCGCTCATGGTCGCTCAGATTGGACTTCAAATGACCTAAAGGCAAAACAGGATTGAGAGAAATGACGTAAATTATGGAGCTATTTCTGCTGCCGTGTCATGCCGGGATGCGCCGCTCTAGCAACATCCCGCTCTTGCCAGGCACCTTCCATTAAAGCGCTCCGTGGAGCAAAACAACCAAGACACTTAGCAAAACTCATCTCCTTGACAAAAGAGGAACAGCACCAGAGTTTGTGTGATTTTTCCTTCTCTTCCAGCTCACATCTGACATCATCAGGTTGGCTATCGTCCCCGGGTGTGAAATCTGCAAAGTACACCGTGGCCAAATAAACGTCAGGCAACTAAATCTGTCTCCTCCGGCATAAATGATTGCCCTATCGCTTTCAGCAGGGGAATCTTTAAGCCATTTTATCTGCACTCCCTCAAGCACAGTAGAATTGATCTGGCTGATACATGGTACCGTAAAACATTTACCACAGGCTCTGGTCAGCATCTTGTCAAGCTCAGCTAGAGCTGCATTAAGCAGAAATGGGGAACTAAGGGGCTTTGTACCCCTATCCAAACTTAAATTTAAATTCTGCTTTGTCCTCCCCCCTTCCCTCGAATTCTATTTTACAAAGTATCCCCTTTATCCCCTAAACAATTATTACACAGCATTTAGAAAAGAAAAAAACCTGTGAGCTTGACTGCTGAGTACATCTGCTGGGCTTAAGTTTTCTTTTTAGAAGAGTGCTTTGATTTCAAAACACTCCCCCATCATGGCTAGCTCCACAACTGCCTCCTTTCCAACCCTTTTGCTTTTCTAAATCTACTTTTGCTGCCTCTTTACTGCTTTCTTCTACCTGCAGGCAGCGGACAAAGCAACTTGTTAACTTCCTCACCAGTAGAAAGAAAAAGCCAATCAGACCTTAATGGCTCACACAAAACCCCAAGAGGAGCTACTAATTACCCTTGTGCTTTTGAGGAGGCATAAAAATGCTGTCCCCCCTCCCTGGGACCCTCGGTACCACCCACAGCCACAGGCCTGTGCCCACCACGCTTCAGCCAGGCCAGATCTGGAACGCAGGATTCAGCCTGGGACATGCCAAAACAAAGCTGCAGAGGTGGGTTTCCAAGGGATGGATCCTTGTTCCCTCATGGCTTCCCATCCTGAGCTGGACCATCAGGTCAGCCAGCCCACACATCCAGCATGCCCAGCAATGGTCACCGTGCTCTTCCCCATCACCACAGCCCCAGAAGGAGAGGGACCAGCGTGGGGCAAAGCCAGGCTGGCCAAGTGACCAGAGAGCAACAGGGCATCTCCAAACATCCCTCACCCCATCCCAGGATCTCCTGGTAGGGCTTCCAGGAGCACAGAGGGGAGGTAAACAGGGAAGAGCTTGGATGTGTTGAATATCCTCTTGTCATTCCCTCTCCCCAAAAAGGGACCTTGGTTGACACAGCACCTCTTCTACATCTGCATAATTGGCTCTTCCCAAAGCTCTCACCCTCCTGCCTGTCAGGAACAGAGGCTACGGAAGAGAAGGGAGATAAGGAGGGAGATTACCTGAGAGGACTCAAGGCACTATTGTCCCAGCAGAGGGGAAGCTGGTGGCACTAACAATGAGGGGGGCCATGCACACATTCAGGGGAGATCAAATCTCTCCACAAACAGGCCCAAATTGGCCCCGTGAGGAGATCTGACCTATGGCTTTCATCCTGCTGGCCTGATGAAAGACGGAGCCGAGATTCAAACCAAATTAAGCATGGATTTTGCTAAAACACTGGCTAAAGAGGGAGCTGAGACAGTGGCAGCTCTCCATCCTGCGTTAGCCGATCCTGTGTTCATCTCAGGAAAGCAGAGAGTGATTTAACCCACATCATGCAGGGCTGATCCTCAGGCCCCCCTAGAGCTGCCAGTACCACCCCGGTGCTGCAGGGATGGAGCTCCTGCCAGACCTCACCCAGGGTCCCACTGCATCCCCAGCACAAACACTTTCCAAGCCTCTCGTGCATGGGGAGAAGCAGCACCATCCCCAAGCCCCTGTGCCTCAAAATAATCCTGCAGAAATTAAAGCTAACTGTCTAAAGGCCATGAAACTTCCAGCTCCATGGCACAGGCCACCAGCTCCTGCTGGTATTTGGGGGCAGCAAGGGGAGCAGAGCAGGAGGAACACCCAGCTACTCCCAACATCCCACAGAAGTACCACGGGTGGACCTGGGCTTCTCTGGAAAGGCACATGGTCTAAAACAAGAGGAACAGACTCACTCCATGCCCCAAGACCCCAGTTCAGGACAGGACTGTGACCACCCAGCACCAGCAAGCCTCCAGCACATACCTCACGGAGAAGAAACTCAAACCTGGCTGAGGGGTGTCAGATTCCAACAGAGAGGCAGCAACACAGCAGCAAAAAGAGGGGCTCACACCAATGTTGGGGACACCACGGCCACCACAATCCCAGCTGCTGGCTCAGAGCCACCCTGGGCATGTTAGGGAGCACGAAGGATGCTCAACCCGATCCCAGCCCGCCTGCACTCCGAAAGCACGGCTGCTGCACACACGTGCATCCATCTGCCTGCGCCTTTCGCATCCCCAGTGCGGCAATAAAAACCCGAAACCCAGCCGGCCTCCCAGGCTCCAGGTCCCGCCGGGGAGGAGGGCTGTGCTCACAGATTACAGCCCCACAAACCGGGCTGTAGCCTGGGATTAGCTGCTGTAACCTGAGCTCCGACTCCCACCCAGATTAGCTGGGAGGTACGGGGGGAACGCACCGGACAAACTCAATAAAGCCACTCCGTGCTCCTAAAAAAAAAACACCTTCAGCGCTCTCTGCAGACAGCACAGCATCCGAAAAACTCGAGAAGGAAGCTGGGACTGTAATTTCTGGCCACGACACGGCAAAACTCCTGCAGGCCATCACCTCTTCACCTGGCAGGCACATGTGCCGAGTCCAGCCGCTGCTAGTTCACGGGAGTTAGGACATGAAGGAGAGGAGGCGCACCCAAAATCCTGCTCCAGATACCCAGAGCTGTCCCTGGAGCTGATGCAGCCTGCGGGATTGCACCCTCCCCGTGCCACCTCCTGCCCAGTGCCCGCTGCAGGCTGTGACAGACTAATCGGACACCCGCATCCCTGCCCAGGAGGGCAGCCCATCGCGGCACGGCAGCGTCCAAACCCTCAACAATTTGGGGAGCTTCCCAGAGCATCCCACAGCCCGCTCCTGCCCGCTCTCAGACCTGCCTCCCGACTGCTCAGGGCTGCGGGCAAGTGGGCTCTGCCCTTCCCAAACGGAGAAGGAGATGAGCCATGCCAGGAAAAGTCAGGATTGCTGGGCCGGCTGTCACTCGCACAGCTTCACCCTTCCCGTGCCCTGGCTCTCCAGCATCAGGCCACCACAAGAGGACACCCATACCCGCAAGGGGCTTTGCGAGACCGAGCCCGGCACATTCAAACTCTCCCGCAGCTCCGAGCTGAAGAAACACCGCAGGGGAAGGAAGGGAGCCGAGGATCGCACCTGGGCACGCAGGGGCACCCACACGGCAGCGGCGGCCACTCCGAGCTCCCCCAGACCCTCCCTCCACGGGACATCCAGGTGGGGGCAAGCAGAGGAGGCTCCCCCCACCCACTGCGAGCCCGGAGGGACGCGACGGAGCCGGGGGATGCTGCGAACGCTCAGGGGGACCGGGCCCGCCGCGCTGTGAGCCCCCACGGGTCCCGCAGCCCCGGCGGGGCTCCCCCGGTGCCGCCCTTACCTCGGGGCCTGCCGGCAGCGCTGCCCGGGCGAGTGAGCGCGGCCCCGCCGCCGCCGCCGCCTTATAGCGGCCGTGAGGGGAGCCCGCCTCCCGGGGGCGGCCCCGGCTCGGATCGGCCCGGCCCCAGATCGCCTCAGCCCAGCCCCGGCACGGCCCCGGCTCGGATCAGCCCGGCCCCAGCTCAGCCCCGGCTCAGCCCAGCCCCGGCTCGGCCCCGGCTCAGCCCCGGCTCAGCCCAGCCCCAGCCCAGCCCCGGCTCAGCCCCGCTCGGCCCCGGCCCAGCCCCGCTGGGTCTCCGGGAGAGGCAGCGAGGGGTGCGGGCAGCCGGGGTGGGAGAGGAGGTGATACCGGGACAGGGGGGTGATAAGGAGGGGAGCAAAGAGAGGAGAAAAGGAAAGGGAAAAGGGGGGGAAAGAGAGAAATGGAAGCGAGGGAAAGAGAGAAAATGAGAAGGAGAGAAATAGAGAGGAAAGAGGGAGGGGGAAAGATGGGAGAAAAAGAAATAGAGAGAGGGAAAAGGGAGGGGAAAAGGAGAGGAGAGGAAAGAAGAGGAAATGGAGGAAAAAAATAAATAGGAAAAGGGGAGAGGAGAAGGAGAGAAAAAGATGGAAATGGAGGAAAAAGGAAAGAAAGAGGGAAAAGAAGAGAGAAACAGGGAAACTGAGAGAAAAAGAGGGAAAGGGAGAGAAAAAAGGGAAGAGAAAAAGAAATAGGGAAAGGGAGAGAAAAAAGGGAGGAGAGAAAAAGAAATAGAGGGAGGAAAAAGGAGAGAAAAAGAAAAAAGGAGAGAAAGAGGGAAAAGGAGAGAAAAAAGGAAAAGGGAGAGAAAAAGCAGAAGAAAAGAGTAAAAATAAAAAGATAAATAGAAGGAGGAAAAAAAGAGAGGGAAAAGGAGAAAAATACGAAAAAAGGAAAATACAAAAAGAGAAAAAGGAGAGGAAAGAAAAAGAGAAAAATGGAAAAATAGGAGAAAAAAGGAAAAAGAAAAGTAGAGAAAAGAAAGCAGAAAAAGAGGGGCAAAGACAGAAAAAGTGAGGAAAGATGAAAAGGTGAAAAAAGAGAAAAAGAGGGAAAAGAGGAAAAGTGACAAAAGAGAGAAAAGAGAAAAAAAGGAGAGAAAAGGAAAAAGAGAAAAGGGAGAGAAAAAATACAGAAGAAAAGGGGAGGGGGAAAGATGATGAAAGAGAAGGGAAGAAAGAAAGGGGAAGAAGAGAAAAATAGAAACGGGGAGAGAAAACAGATTTTAAAACATGAAAAAGCAGAAAACAGATGTAAGGGGGGAAAAATTAAACAGCATGTCTCTATTTGTTTTCTGTTTTGATTTGTTTTTTTCCCTGCCACAATAAAATATTGAGGTAGACAAGGCAAGGGGAGGCAGCAGATCCTCTCCTCTGCTCCCTCCCCAAGGGCAAGAAAAACTAACGCCAAGGAGAAACAAGCCAGGTGAAAGTGAAAATCCCCCTCCTTGCAGGGCTCCTGAGCACGGGGAAGGTGAGGGAAAGGGGGTCACTCAGGCCGTGTGTCCCAGGGAAAATTGGATATCCAGCCCCCTGCTGAGCCCTGAGAGCGGCACTGACAGCTCCCAGGGATCTCCACCAGGCTGCTCCCAAAGCTCCAGGTGAGCCAGAGCAGGGCTGGGCCCCCAAACCCTCCCCCTGAGCCCACAGCAACCTACAGCTCCTAAATCACCTCAGCATGCCTTTGGAGTCTTCTCTGATTTGGCTGCCAGGGAACAAGAACAGAGGGATGTGTCTCCCACCATCCCATGGATAGGAAGGGTGGAATGTAAGGTGCCTCCTTTCCCTTCCTCACTTCCACTTTCCCTGGGTGAGGTCCTCCCAACTTCACAGCTGTCGGTGAGCAAAGCGTTCCAGCATCTGCTTGAATTCCCAGTGCTTGCCCAACTCCGCGGATATTGGTGGGATTGAAACACGGTGATGTCAGAGAGTGACAGGATTAGGTTTAAAAATAATCATGGACTGAAGAACTTGGCTAAATCAGGCTCTTGAAAATCCTAGGGGGAAAAAAAAACAAAACAAAAACCAAAACTAAAGGCACTGTAGCAGCACTCTGGTCACTTAGCCAAAAAAGCAAGTGGAGTGGTTTGGCCTTACTTGGTGTGCCAGAAAATAACATCAAAATGTGCAAAGTCTTCCAGAGCTCTCCAGAAATACCAGCCAGCACCTGGAGCCACAAAGCTGCTGGATGTCCAGGAGTCACAGGCAACCTCCCCTCTCCTGCATTTTGCCAAGGCAGAGCCCTCACTGCCCTCTCCTGGTTCCTCCTTTCAGGTATCATTTTATGGGGAGCACGTTCCTCACAGAAGAGCCAGGGCCAATCCCCTTTTCGTTAGAAAAACTGGATTTTGCTTGGAGTTCAGGCATTAAAAATCTGCACAATACAAAACCATCTTCCTAGAACAGAGCAAGCAGAGCTGGAAACCTCAGGTAAAATCAGCAGAAGGTCGATGTGCTGCCTGCTTGCCATGATTAATTGGTATCTGCCACCAATCCAAGCAGGTGATCCAAGGGATGTGATTGCAGAATGCAGTTGCTGTGGCCAGCAACTCCTTGGAGATGCAGCTGTCCAGGTGATCTATCACTCACTGAAAAGAGACAGGCTGGGAGAACTGGGATTGTTCAGCCTGCAAAACAATGTTCTGAGGGAACCTTGAAGCGCCTTCCAGTGCTTGAAGGGGTTCCAAGAGAGCTGAAGAGGGACTTTGGATAAGGGGAAATAGCTTCCTATTGCCAGAGGACAGGATTAGATGAGATATTGGGAAGAAATTCTTCTCTGTGAGGGTGGGCAGGCCCTGGCACAGGCTGCCCAAAGGAGCCCCTGGATCCCTGGAACTGTCCAAGGCCAGGTTGGAGGGAGATTGGAACAACCTGGGATAGTGGAAGGTGTCCCTGCCCATGGCAGGGGGTGGAATGGGATGAGCTTTAAGGTCCCTTCCAACTCAAACAATTTTATGATTTAGGAAAGCAAAGGTCTGCAGTTTTCACTCTGTTATGGAGGAGTCTGTGACAACATGTCAGTGTTGGGTAAAATGCAGCACTGAAAGCCAGATCATTATTTAACTGCTTTGGTTTGCATTTATATTTTGTTTAACTGCCTGAACTACAGCAATATGTTGGGTTTTTTTTCTCCAAAAACACAAGTTTTTACTAATGGGAGCAGAGGAGAGAAAAAATCCTGAATTTCTCCCAGTCCTCACAGCCTTTTCCCAATTGACTTTGGGAATGCAGGCTGAAAGTACCCTTCCTTTCTCTTAAGGTTTCCCTTTCCAGCTGGGAGGCAGATGGAAGCTGACGCCCAGCCCTGCCTACTCAAATCAGAGAAATCAAAGATAAAAATTAAAAAACTCAATTTGGCAGCTCTGAGTGCTGGGAATACACAGGCTTGGGAGTGAGAGAGAAGGCCAAGAAGGCAAAGTGCAGATTGTATTGGGTGGGGGAGCATTTTGATTGCAGGGCAAGTATCAGTGGGACAAAGGGAAACATTTCTCCAATTGCACAAGAGAGGGATTTGCGTGCAGCAGGAGCAAGGTGGGAGCAGTCTCAAGCACAGGCAGAGAACGGTGCCAGCAGTGAAAACACACACCTGGCCACGACAAAGCCCGGGACAGCCCTGGAGAAAGCCAGGCTGTGATCCATGAGGTGTCTGAAGGTGGAGCTGAGCTTCCTGCAGGATGAACACTCAGCACCCGCTTCCTCCCTCTGCCAAGGCAACCAGCCCTGTGTCCTCTCCCGGGCACGTTCCTCACTGCATCACGGGGATGATGGATGGATGGATGGATGGATGGATGGATGGATGGATTGGTGGATGGATTGGTGGATGGATGGAGGAACGAGCCCCTGTGCTAACAAAAGGAACAAATAGATGACTGCATCAGGAGTCACCTCTGAAACGGCGGCAGAAAGGAAATGAGCGGCGCATTTCCAGCATCAGTGGCCGCGGTGCTGCCCGGCTTCACTTCCCCCCAGCAGCAGGGAACAATCAGGTCATTTAATGCCAAACCATGACTCCAGCAGTGTCAGCAGCCTCAGGGAAGCCCCAGGGCTGGTCTCTTGTCCAGCTCCATCCTGTCCAGTCCGGAACAGACGCATGATGAGGAAAGCAAGGGGAAGAGAGCAGGAAGAAGCAGCTTCCCACTGCAGGGCAGGAAAGGTTCTTGTGCTCATAGGCAGCTCCAGGAAACCAGAGTCCTCCTCTGCACAAGGATGGAGTGAACCAGAGATGCCCCAAGCTGAGGAAGCTGCTCAGGGGGTGGGAAAGCCAGTGCTAGAGAAACTGGGGCAGAAAGAAGCTGACCTCTTAAAAGTGGAGAAAAAGGAAGAGAAGTGCATGGAGAGGCTGCCAGGGCAACCACAACCCATCCTAGGGCAAGGCTTCTGCTTCCCCTAGCCTAGCCTAAACCACTAAACCAAACAATAAAAGAGAAATGACAGCTCAGAACTTTCCTTCCTCCTCCACACCACCCACCTGTTAGTTCAAAGGTTCATGAGATATTATATTTTTATTGCTAAAAGCCACTCAGGGACTGGTTTCCATCGCTGCTGCAGCTCCAAGGCTGCATTTTCAACTTCAGCACCACAATAAGGACCAAATTGAAGATGAAGATTGTCCAGCATAAAGCTGAGCTCCTAGGGCTGGTCACAGGCCTCCAGTATCTGTGGTTTGAGGCAGCATACGCTGAAAGCTTTGTGCAAAGCTGCCGGGAGAGATCTGTGTTTTCCAGTTCCTGTCCGGCCCGGGGACGCTGCCGTCAGCTCTCGCCTCCTGACAAGTGACGGTGAGCAGCTCTGATTCAGAGAGACAACTCAAAGCACACAGTGCTCCACGTGGCCTTCTTCAGACGGGCCACCCAGGCTTTTAACCATTCTCTGGCTTTGTCCACCCAAAGACAGAATCACAGAATCTTTTAGGTTGGAAAATGCTTCCGAGCTCATCGAGTCCAACCTGTGACCGATCCCCACCTTGTCACCCAGCCCAGAGCATGGAGTGCCACATCCAATCATTCTTTGGATGCCCCCAGGGATGA